TTCAATGTGGTGGATTCCACCTCTGCTCCGTGCAACTTCTTCCCCTTCTCCCAGTCCTCCATCGTCGAGTCTACCTTACTCGAACCGCTCCATCGCCGTTCACGATACCTTCGTCCGGGCGTTAATTGTCAGGTTTCTCCCTGCTGACCTCCTTCTGCCTCGCCAGAATTTTACCTTGAGATACCCGCCAAACCGATCCGGGAGCTCAACTCCGACCACACCTCCATCATGTCTTCTACCACCAAGCCCGGCGGCCTCTCCGCCAACGACAAGATCCAGCGTTTCGCTGCGCCCAGCCGCCCTCTGAGCCCCCTCCCCTCACACGCCCTCTTCAACGACAAGACTCGATGCTTCGTCTACGGCCTGCAGCCCCGCGCTGTGCAGGGTATGCTTGACTTCGACTTCATTTGCAAGCGCAAGACCCCCTCCGTTGCCGGCATCATCTACACTTTCGGTGGCCAGTTCGTGAGCAAGATGTACTGGGGTACCAGCGAGACTCTCCTGCCCGTCTACCAGGAGGTCCCCAAGGCCATCGCCAAGCACCCCGACGTTGACACGGTCGTCAACTTTGCCTCGTCTCGCAGTGTCTACAGCTCTACCATGGAGCTCATGGAGTTCCCCCAGATCAAGACCATTGCCATCATTGCCGAGGGTGTCCCTGAGCGCGTAGGTTCTCCCCCCTTCTTAATCCTCTGCGTCTTGCCTCCTAAGGAAGTCCATGGGCATTGGTTGACTCCGCTGACACAATGATCTAGCGCGCCCGTGAGATCGCCCACAAGGCCGCCAAGAAGGGCATTACCATCATTGGCCCTGCCACTGTCGGTGGCATCAAGCCTGGCTGCTTCAAGATCGGTAACACTGGTGGTATGATGGACAACATCGTTGCCTCCAAGCTGTACCGCAAGGGTTCCGTTGGCTACGTGTCCAAGTCCGGTGGCATGTCCAACGAGCTGAACAACATCATTTCCAACAATACCGATGGTGTGTACGAGGGTGTCGCCATTGGTGGTGACAGGTACCCCGGAACCACCTTCATCGACCATCTGCTCAGGTACCAGGCCGACCCCGAGTGCAAGGTTCTCGTCCTGCTCGGCGAGGTCGGAGGTGTCGAAGAGTACAAGGTTATCAAGGCCGTCGAGGAGGGTGTCATCACCAAGCCTATTGTTGCCTGGGCCATTGGTACCTGCGCCAGCATGTTCAAGACTGAGGTTCAGTTCGGCCACGCCGGTGCTTTTGCCAACTCCACGCTCGAGACTGCCAAGACCAAGAACGAGAAGATGAAGGAGGCTGGTTTCCACGTCCCTGACACCTTTGAGGACATGCCCAACGTCCTCAAGCAGGTCTACGACAAGCTCGTCGCTGACGGCACCATCAAGCCCCAGCCTGAGCCCGTTGTTCCCAAGATTCCCATCGACTACTCTTGGGCTCAGGAGCTCGGCCTTATCCGTAAGCCCGCTGCCTTCATCTCCACCATCTCCGACGACCGTGGCCAGGAGCTTTCTTTACGCTGGCATGCCCATCTCGGACGTGTTCAAGGAGGAGATCGGTATCGGTGGTGTCATGTCTCTGCTGTGGTTCCGCCGCCGCCTTCCCGACTACGCCTCCAAGTTCCTTGAGATGGTTCTCATGCTTACCGCTGATCATGGTCCCGCTGTGTCCGGTGCCATGAACACCATCATCACCACCCGTGCCGGCAAGGATCTGATCTCCTCGCTGGTCGCTGGTCTCCTGACCATTGGTTCTCGCTTCGGTGGTGCCCTCGACGGTGCCGCCGAGGAGTTCACCAAGGCGTTCGACAAGGGCCTCAGCCCCCGTGAGTTCGTCGACACCATGCGCAAGCAGAACAAGCTCATTCCCGGTATTGGCCACCGCGTCAAGTCCCGCAACAACCCCGATCTCCGTGTCGAGCTCGTCAAGGAGTACGTCAAGGCCAAGTTCCCCAGCTCCAAGCTGCTCGACTATGCCCTGGCCGTCGAGAGCGTCACGACCTCGAAGAAGGACAACCTGATTCTGAACGTCGACGGCTGCATCGCTGTCTGCTTCGTTGATCTTGTCCGCAACTGCGGTGCCTTCTCTGCCGAGGAGGCCGAGGACTACCTCAAGATGGGTGTGCTCAACGGTCTCTTCGTTCTCGGCCGTTCCATCGGTCTTATTGCTCACTACCTCGACCAGAGAGGCTGCGCACTGGTCTCTACCGTCACCCCTGGGACGATATCACCTACATCCTGCCCCAGCTCGGTGGTGGCGCGCCTGGCGCCGAGGGCCGTGTCGAGGTGCAGATGTGAGGGAAGTAATGAATGGAAAAGAAAGGCTCGGGCGAGAGCCGGGCACAGGCGTGGGGCGGATTTGATAATAGAGCAACGGAGCAATGGAATACCTCGCCCGGCCAAGAGGGCGCCGGTGCTAGAGGATGCTTTGTATGACAAGCTACGTGTATGTACTGTTGAGGAGCTTAGATCGCTACAAAGTATGACATTTTATGACGCCTGGATGTGTGATGGTGGCTCATGTTGTGACATGAACGTATTGGAAGTTTGGCTTATGCATCCTCGAACCATCTGCTCTGGTGGAGCTCGGCGCCTGAACCAGCTCGTACATCGGACTGACAGTCTGCGCTCTCGTCCGCGCTACCCAACTTGCGCCTCACCTCATATATCATCTCCTCGCTGACGACCGTATCATCGTGATTGGCCCCGAACATCTCTGTCTGCCCATCAACCACTTTGACCAGGAGAGCCTCGGCCTCTTGCCATCGGCTTTGGGCCATGTACACCTCGGCCAAGACCTGCATGTCAACAACCGCGTCCCCGTGTTCGCCCCCAAGCAGCGATTCTTTCCCTTTGATAACTCCTGGCAATATTTCTTCGGCCTCTTCCCACCTGGCCTGTTTCCCGAATATCCCGGCGAGATCCGACATGCTCGTCAAGGTCAACAGGTGGTCGGCCCCTCGCGTCTTCTCCCGCACGGCGACCACCCGGCGCAGCAGCGCCTCGGACCTCGCATACTGGCCGTGCGCGCCGAGCATGCCGGCGAGGTCGTACATGCACGTGGCCGTGTCGTCGTCCTCTGGACCGAGCGCCTCCTCGTGCAGCTGCAGGACGTGGGTCAGCATCTCACGTGCCTCAGACTCGTGGCCGGCAGACCAGAGAATCTCGGAGGCCATGCGGCGCATGCTGATAAGGCTGGACGCGTGCTTTTCTCCGAGCACTCGTTTGCGGGTCTCGATGACGTGGAGGAAGGACTGCTCGGCCTTGAGAAGCTTCCCCTGTCTTGCGTGTGCTGTAGCTAGCTCTTCCGCGCATTCTAGCGTTTTCTGGTCTTCCTCGCCTAGGGTCTGCTGATATACATTGAGTGTATGAGAGAGAAGGGCTTCGGCTTCGGTGAGCCTGTCCATGGCTAGGAATATTGAGCCTAGCTTTGCAGTAACTTTTAGGGTAAGCAGATGATCGTTGCCGAAGGGCGGTGCCTGAGTATTGCCTCTCGGCCTCGCAAAAGGCAGCCGCTTCTTTTGCCTGTCCTTGCTCGAGGAGCCTCGTCGCAATCACGGCTGTGCTGTGAAACTGTTGCAGGTCTTGCGTTCCGTGTGCTGCCGCCGAGGATGCTTGTTGCCGCGTCCATCGCGAGCGGGAGAAGGCCCGGTTGTGGTTGCAGGTGCTTCAGTGTTTCGCGGAAGGTCTCTAGCGCCGCCCGTGTCTCGTCATGCGAGATGCCTCGCGACACGATGTATTGTTGGCTGCTGAGAGCAGCGTGCTGTTCCGCTCCGTAGAAACGGCCCTGCTTCATTTGATAGAGAGCGCTCTTGTGCAGCATGGAGGCCCACGTTAGCTGCGCTTCCTCACCTTGTGGAGGGTGCACGACAGCCTTTTCTGCATGCGGGATCAAGCGATCTTGGAGTCCATCGGCATCATCGGTACTCTGCAGGCATCTCGTGAAGGCCGCATCAAGTCTTGCAACGAAACGTGAATTGACGAGATTGAGCTCTCCATTTTCTTTCAACCAGGTCTTTACCGACAGCTGGACCATGCGGGGAATTTGGATGCCGCCCCATTGACTGCGGGAAATGAGACAATAGTTGTACAGAATGGACAGTTGAGTATCCCGGCTGGAGCCTTCGTCTGTTGGCTTTTTGTCTTCCGAGGACTCGATGTGTACGGGTGTGTCGACAAGGGTCTCGTGTACGTCTTGGCCATCGTAAAAACTCAGCAGACACAGCAGGTCCGCCGCGGACGGGTAGGTAGCCCGGACTTGCAAAAACTTGGCCAGCCATGTATCTAGCGCAGAACAAGGCTTCAAGAGGCCCCGCCTACCGTCGTCGCCTGCCGAGCTTATCATCTTCACGATTTCGGCATCGCCTTCTCGTAATGCTTGGAGATACGTGTCTGGTGTCATGTGTCGTTGGGATCGGATATGAAATGCTGCTTGTGTAATCGTGAGTGGGATCAAGTCGAGCTCTTCCACGAGGTCTGCTTTGGTTCCCAGTCGACCATAGGAGGAGCTCATCTTCTTTTCCAGCAAAAGGATGGCTTGGTGGAGCTTCATTGGACCGACGTCGATGAGGGCATGCGACGGCGATGCCAATCTCACAGCCAGGCTTCTGTCACACGTTGTGAACAGGACCGACCCGCGAGGGCTTGTTGGCAGGATACTCTCCAGCGTTGCATTGCTGTTTCCGACCCTTTCGCTCAGGAAGACATGACTGTTGTCAGCACCGTCGAAGACCAAGAGCCACCTCACAGGCAGGCGTTCATTTCCGAGCCACCGACAAACAGTCTGTATGATTTCAGAGCCGAATTTGTTGTAGGTCTGAATTCCAACAGCTTCGGCAATGGCCACAAACCCCTCAGTGATGGTCGCAAGCGTATTGGCTTGAATCCAGAAAACGCACGTCGCGGCGTCTGCTGGCTCATCATCGGCGAGTATCCATGATACCCAGCCGCCACCCGTGATGCTCGCTTCTGCTGACTCCTTCTTCCTGTAGGCATATTCGATAGCGAGCTGGGACTTGCTGTTCATCCTCGTCAACCCTGGACCGGGTGGGAGGTGCACTATTAGACGTACCCGATGCCATTTTGGCCAACGAGAACTGCTCGGCCGCCAGGGCCGGAACAGCGCTCGTCAATCTGTTCGAGAATATCAGGCCTATCGACAAATGCATGATCGCGAGAAAAGGGTATCAAAGTCGAAGGTAGAGTTGTTGTTGTCGTCGAAGTAGGCTCGGCCCCATTAACGGAGAGTAACCCCACACATGCTGGGTCTGCCCGCAGTCCGCTGGGCCGAAAGCCATTGTGCAATGGGTCTCGTTTCGGCGCAGATGTGTTGGAGACGGCCGATATCGTTCCATAGCCGGCTTTGATTCCTAGGCGCAGTGCTGTGCTGTCAACCACCAGTGAGCCCATGGCTCACCAAGCTTGCTGGGTTCGATGTTGAGTGAAAATGGAAGACTCTCCAGCGGTCAAGATGTGACATGGCAGGACAGCAGCCGACCATCTTTCATATCGCATGAGTCTGTGTATGGCTGAGACAACTCGCTACTGGCCAAAGTATATCGATCCCTGTCACTTGACCAGAGGACCTCTAACCCCCCACGCTGATGGTCAGCTTTATGAAAGATCAGATCAGGCGCTTCCAAATCAGGCTTCGAGCAGTAGCTCAGCCATTCCAGTCGTTCCAGCCTTGACGGAGCCTACGGACACTTCATATGCCAACATCATAGGCCGAATAAAGCCCCCGTCGCTTCCGATAGTTGACCAACCATGGCGATGGTGATACGCCAACTGGCCGCAACGAGCTCAAAAGGTCGGGGCGAGAGAGGTCCGAGGTCAAGATGGGGTGGCCACAAGAGCTACCATGGTCAGAAAGACACGACAAAGGCATCAACGAGCCGGTAAACGCGTTTCTCAGAATCCCATGAAGGTGGGTTGACAAGTAGATGCTAGGACATAGAGTCTTGGCGCTTCTCGTCGTCCGTCACCTGCCCAATTTAGCGATGTCGTCTTCAGCGGGGCTGATGCCGCAATCCTAACTGCCAGCAGGCATCGCTTTATGGCGTATGGTCTCTAGATGGATAGAATCTCTATACACAGACAATTCAACTATCGGGCAGTGCTCCTCTATCGATAGCCAGGGGCTGAATTGTGGGGGCCTTGCCGATGCACTGGCCATCTCGAATTGGCTCCGACGTGCATTTTTTGGATCCGGACCTCTACCACGCGACTCTGAGCTCCAAGCACCGCCAACCAGCCAACCCATTACAGCCCGCGCAACAAGAGACAGACCTGGCTGCCAGACAGGCAGACGATACGTCGTACGGACTCGCTCCTCTGAAACCCACTCGACACCCCCCACAGACCTCTACGAGACGAACAGAAATCAGCAAAGACAGGGAAACTCGCCAGGTCCTCTCTCTCTCCTCCGCCCCCGAAAAACCAACACAGTCGAAACCTCTCTACACACGCCGCCTCGGATCCATAGCAACGATCGTCCAGCAACATGTCCTTCTTCCGCATCACCCTCCACCGCTCGGCCATCGGCCTGCCCAAGCGCACCCGCGGCGTGCTCGCCGCGCTGGGCCTCCGCCGGCGCATGCAGACCGTCTTCCACCCCGTCACCCCCGACTTCGCCGGTATGGTCTTCAAGGTCAAGGAGTTGGTGCGCGTCGAAGAGGTCGACCAGGCGCTGAGCAAGAAGGAGGTTAAGGCCGAGAGGACGCCGGCGAGGGGGTTCTGGGTTGAGCGTGCGGCGCCGAGGTAATCCGCCAACCAGTCCGACGAGGAGAAAGAAAAAAGAACGAGGGGGCGCAGATGAAAGCTATGGGCGAGACGACACGGACGGCAGACAGACTGCCATGTGTACCATACATGTACGCTAGGGAAAGACTGTATCATAATCATGGAAGCTAGGAACACATGGAGACATGACGAGCATTGCAACACTGGGAGTAAGATAATGTGTGAACGCTAAACAATTACCGTGTCTATGTCTAAGGAAAACCACCTCGAGACAGAAAGACACCACTTTCTCGCATACCCTCGGCTCCATTCTCAACTCCATGGCAAGGCGTTCGAAGTATCAGA